GGTGCCAGACCTGCCAGTACCAATGTCAACATCACAATTGTTTTTTCGAGGCTTCTACTTTTCCTATTTTGCAATATTTATCGTTGTATTAAAGTATTTAACGCTTTCAATTTACAAGGTTGGGGTAAGTTAGCTAGTGAGAGCTCATCTTACACTCAACAATTAGTGAGCTTTGAAATTCTTAAAAAAGATTAAGACTTTCAGTAGAAAATAATTTTTTAAGTGCACGAAAACCCTCCTCGCCGCAATTGCTGCTGCTCAGACTACCTCAGTCGGAGTCAAAATGACATTTGATTTTTTTCAGGCTTTATTTACGTTTGTTTTGAATATGAATGTGGAAGAATTGAAGGGGGCTCCGGCAAATTTTATTGCCCACCAAAGATCTTAATAATTTCTTGACAATCTAAGGAAATTATGGATATGCTTAAAAGCTTCGTGGAGGACTCAAAATATCTTCCCCAATCAACCACTCTTTTTTGAGCCAACGTTTCTCTCAGCAGCAGTATTATTCTTCCCATCCCTCTCTATTATGGATGATGCCCGTCCCATGAAAAGAGTTGAATATTCAATATGCGATAGGATATCAAGCATGAATGGATTTCAGTTTCACTTCACGTGAAAAGGGTGAAAAAGTTATATAAACAAAAGGACTCATGCTTTGAGATTGTACAGATAGAGTTGGAATAAGGAACAGTCACATTAAGTAAAGCGACTCATGGGTTGAGATTGTGAGTTAATGTATAATAGTGCTAAATTTTTTTATGAACTCACATGAATTTAATTGGAATGGATTTTTCACCTCTAAAATGTGGCATCACTTTTTGCAAAAAAGATTAATATAGTCTAGAAATACCCGCAACTCGCGGCAACAACGATAATAATCCACGCTGCCCCCTTTAATTTGTTATGTATTATGAGGTGCTAATATTTGGAGCTGCGCTGGTAACTTCTTTGTAATACATACGTACCCCCTGAAAATATATTTTTTTTTTTGGTGTTAATTTGTGAGCGTGCATACGTATAATTGTTCTCTCCCCGAGTCCAAAATTTTAAATAGAACTAACCCATTGATAATGGTTCTTGTAAATAGGTGAATAATTCAGAATGATGCTTTAAAGGTCATTACTTCCCATGCCCATCGATCAAAATCAACTCGCCGTGACAAGTGAGTCCCTGCATGTCTATGACAGTGCGTGACCCACGCACATGGCTCTGCTCAGTAACGCAGCTCAACCAAATTTTAGTAGGATATCAATGCATTACATGGCACAATGGTGTCATGCTCTCATTTGTTAACTCTACATAACAGAGATGATATCCCAAACACGTGTTGCAGAACTGACGGTCATTCGTCCCACCCCTCTTCTCCCGCCAGGTGACTGTCTGTTCTGTCATGACTCGGATTTGGAATCTAATATACCAACTGGTTCTGTTCCTCCCCCTTCCTTCCTTTTTTTCCCCCTCCACTTTCGCTTATCTTTTTGTATTTTACTATTTTAACATGCAACCGTTTTTATTTTAGCATTCTTATTTTGATATTTTCCTCCAAAAAAAAAAGAGTAGGGCCCGATTTTCTGTCAATAAACACGCGTTTTTCTTGAGATGCTGCCATTTCCCCCTGGACTCGAGCCCTGCAACATAAGTGATGAATAGCTTGGATTTCTCATATTTATTAAAAAAATGCATTAGTGCGCATGAAATTTTAAAAATTGATAAATATTTTTTTTGAATATTTACATATTAAGCTTAATTTTTAAAGATAATAACCCATACAATGTTTGGGTGTACTGATGTCAAGTTGGAAACTTAAAAGGATACTCTATCCTATCTATAAATTATTTTTATTAATTTTATCAATTACTAATATAACAAAAATATAAGAAACGGAAGTAAGTAAAATTTAAAATATAATTCTCAAGTTAGAAAAAAAAGTAAACAAACAATATGGTATTATTTTTCTGTCTTCTTATATTTTACTTTTTAAAAGTAGTTTGAAAGTTTTAATTTAAAATAATTTCATCATCTAATAGCTTATAAAGTGAACCATATTATCTTTTTAGAATATAACTAATATATAAGATTAAAGGAGTATTTTATAAAATTAAATGACCTAAAAATTTTTTTATATAAAATTAGGGGTTTGAATGTGCGTATTTGACTAAAAATGCACATAATATACATAATTAAATATAAACTATACTGCAAAGATAAACGTAAATTTTAAAAAAAAAAAAAAGCACATCATCCACGTCGCACTCACGAAATGAAAGCAACCCCTACCTTGTGGCCCAACAGTGAATTTTCTCCTGCCAGAGTTAAGTATCAGTCCCGCGGCCTCCCCGCACTTAGCCTTTTCCTTCTTTATATACACCAACCGTTTCCAACTATAGCCTTCACCATCAAACCAGCGACGCCACACTCCCACTTCGCTGTATTGTTGTTAGTTATTTCCATTTATTAACATGTCCAAGGTTGTCTGTGTCACCGGAGCCAGCGGCGCCATCGGATCATGGGTCGTCCGCCTCCTCCTCGAACGCGGCTACACCGTCCATGCCACCGTCCAAGATCTCAGTTACACTCTTTCCTTACATCGTTTCATCTATCCACTTTAATATTCACTGTTTTCTTCCCCGGGATCTCACACACACACGTCAACATGCATCCATAAGAAATACGTCACGTATACTGATTCTGGTACAGGAAAGTGAACGCCACTAAGATATAATCTCGTTTCTGGTTCATGTGATACAACTCCATGTATAATTAGTTGAAGTATTAAGTAACTAATAACGAAAGAAAACAGACGATGACAATGAGACGAAGCATTTGGAGGCGATGGAAGGAGCGAAGAGTCGACTGCATCTGTTCGAGATGGATCTTCTGGACATGGACTCCATCAAGGCCGCCGTGGAGGGCTGCGCGGGCGTGTTCCACCTGGCGTGTCCGAACATCATCGGTCAAGTTCAGGATCCAGAGGTACAAAATAACAATACTGCTCTACGCAGTCCATACTGCTTTGATTGATATTATTTTTGGGTGTGTGGTGACGTGGCTTTTGGTTTTTTGTTGGGGGTGAGCAGAAGCAGATAGTGGAGCCGGCGACGAAAGGGACGGTGAACGTGCTGAAGGCAGCTAAAGAAGCCGGGGTGGAGAGAGTGGTGGCAACGTCGTCGATATCGTCGATCATGCCGAGTCCCGGCTGGCCTTCCGACAGGATCAAAGATGAGGAATGCTGGACCGACCTTGACTACTGCAAGCGCAAGGGAGTGGGTTCTTTCACTTCTTTTCTTTTCTTTCTTTTCTCCTTCGTCAGCTTTTAGGCAGAGGGTCTCTCCTTTTTTTTTTTTTTTTGGCCTTATGAAATTAATATAAATAGTAAAAATAAGGGAAGTGAAAAAACAACGAAGGAAAGACCCGTGTTTAATGTTCTTCAAAAGTTTAATTTTCTCTTTGATTCTTCCCCTCATACTTTTTCCTTGGTGATGAAATAATGCACAAACTTAATATAAAAAAGAAAAGAAATAATACACAAACTTCGACTTCTCCTAAATATTTTTGTTGTTAGATTTTTTAATAAATGCATATCTTTTTAGCATACCTTTTATTTTACTATTAAAAATTCTGAAAATATAAAAGGACAGTGTATGCGTTTCTTTTCCAATGTTAAAAATTCAGTGGCTGAGAAGAAACCAATTATTCTGAAAATTTCTACCTGGTAGCAGGAAATATTGTCCGTTTTGAAAAATAAAAAATATTTTTCTCCTAATAAAAAATAAAGATATGTTTTCTATATATAAATAATCGCTGAGAGATTGATTTTGATTTGGAAATGCGTGTAGCTGTGGTATCCGATAGCAAAAACGCTGGCGGAGAAAGCTGGGTGGCAATTTGCTAAGGAGACGGGCTGCGACGTCGTTATGATAAATCCGGGCACCGCCTTAGGCCCTCTCATCCCCTCAAGAGTCAATGCAAGCATGGCCGTCCTTCTTGGTGTTCTCAAAGGTTTTCTTTCTCGGCTTTTCCTGTTCACCCACCCTCAGTGCTTTCACATTATAACTGTAATGTTAATTGATGTTTGATGGATTTGCAGGGGACACTGAGACCTACGAGGACTTCTTCATGGGCATGGCGCACTTTAAGGATGTCGCCATGGCTCATGTCTTGGCCTTCGAGAAGAAAGAGGCTTCTGGAAGGCACTTGTGCGTGGAAGCCATTCGTCACTACGGTGATTTTGTGGAAAAAGTGGCTGAATTGTACCCTGACTATAATGTGGCCAAGGTGCCCCAGGACACTCAGCCTGGCTTGCTCCGAGCCAAGGATGCTTCTAAGAAGTTAATTAATCTAGGGATGACGTTCACCCCCATTGAGCAAATCATCACCGATGCTGTTGAAAGCTTGAAGAGCAAGGGCTTTCTCTGAATCTAAATCATTTCTCATTTGGGCACTGCTCTGGTGGTGATGGTGTTTACATGGATTGGATCTAGTGGTGGTGTGGTTGGGTCAAATAAGGATGATGAAGTTACAGTTCAGTCACTTGTTCTGTATTTTCATGACAGGTGTTGTTATGTATAAACTCTTGCAGTTAATATCGAATAATTGTTTGTCACTCAGTAAATTGGCAAACAATGAGTCCAATAAATTTTACTGCAAGTACTAGCCCCTTATAAATCCATCATGGATCTGGTAATGATATAAAACAAGCCCACGATTCACTCAATTGCTTCTTGTTATTAAAAAAATCACGAGCTTGTCATGTTCTAATTTAAAAATGTGCAGTCTTCTGACAAAAATTCTTAAAATAAGAGAGAACAATGAATTGAGTTAAGATGAGCATGCCAAGAGAAAAAACCGACCAAATTTATTATCTTATTCTCAAAGATAGGAAATTTACGAACACCATTGTTTCAATTAGACAAAGCAAACTCAGTTCAGACTTCAGAACTTAGAAGCCACAGGACACTCAACTTGAAGGTCAGGGGTCTGGCGAAGAAAACTCAGCTATGGCGTACCACGTGCTGGCGGTGCCGTATCCGGGAAGAGGCCATGCCAATCCAATGATGAACCTCTGTAAAATTCTAGCTTCTCTGATGGCATCTCATGACCAAGAAATTCTCATAACTTTTGTTGTCACAGAAGAGCGGCAGGGCTTACTCGGCTCCGATCAAACCAGGCCCAATAATCTAACCATCTCCACAGTTCCCAACGTGCTCCCGTCTGAGCTAGTCCGTGGCTCCAACTTCCTTGGGTTCTATGAGGCTGTGATGACAAAAATGGAAGCTCCCTTTGAAGATCTCCTTCAAAAATTCAGACGCGCGTGACCCTTATTATAGCTGAAGCCGAACTTCAGTGGGCTGTCCCTCTTGCCAATCGCTGGAATATTCCGGTGGCTATTCTCTGGACCAGTTCTGCATCAGTGTTTTCCATGTTCCTCCACTTTCATCTCCTTCGCCAAAATGAACATCTGGGAATTAATTTGTCAGGCAGGCTCCGTAATTTAAAGAACTTCGACACTAATAACAGGTAATTGATTCACAATGGTTTGACTGACACTCACAGAGCATGGAGAAGAACGCGTGGAGAATATCCCTGGAGTTTCCTCAACAAGAACGTAGATTTACCCGCTATCTTCCACGGAAACGATAACAGAGTATTGCAGCTAAGCTTGCAATGCATATCAAGGGTCAAACAAGCGCAGTATCTCCTCATGAATTCCATCTACGAGCTTGAAACCCAAGTCATCGATATTCTTAAAGGCATATACTCTTTCCCTGTCTACTCCGTTGGCCCTGCAATCCCATTCCTTGACATGAATAACGACCGTCGCACAGAAGGCCATAGCCCCAACTATATGGAATGGTTAGATTCTCATCCAAGAGGCTCTGTTCTGTACATATCATTAGGGAGCCATCTCTCTGTTTCAAGTATGCAGATGGAGGAAATTGTTGCAGGCGTGCAGGAAAGTGGTGTGAGATTCTTGTGGGAGGCTCGCGGAGACAACTCATGGTGGAAGCAAGATTCCGGGACAAGAGGCTTTTTGTGTCTTGGTGTGAACAATTGAGGGTTCTGTGCCATTCTTCTGTAGGGGAATTTTTGTCCCATTGTGGCTGGATCTCAGTTTTAGAGGCAACTTTCGCTGGCGTTCCTATTCTTACTTTCCCTATATACTTTGATCAGACTCCCAACGGTAAGCAAATTGTAGAGGATTGGAAAGTTGGATGGCGAGGAAGAGAGCGCAAAGGAGCTGATAATGTTGTGACGAGGGAGGAAATATCAATGCTTGTAGCGAGGTTTATGAACCCTGAAAGTACGGAACATGATGAGCTAAGGAGAAGAGCAAAACAAATTCAAGGGTTTTGCAGAAGAGCGATTGCAGAAGGGGGAACATCGGTAAATAATCTCAATGCATTTATTAAGGATGTTCTGCGTAGCAAGGATATTTGTGGCCGAGACTGTTCAAGTCAAAGAACTCTCTTTGATTGGAGAGGAAGGAATAATCTGAATTATTAAATTATATTTGATAATTTAAATTTAACAATTTTAAAAACAACAGATACAATTTTAATGTAGTAGAAAGAAATGGAGAGAAAAAGGTAGTAGAGAAAAATTCACCATTCGGTCAGTTAAGGAAGAATTTCTAAGCATTATTAAGGATATTTATTTCAGGAGAATTAAAATGATTCATAGTATAAGTATGTTTGGTACTCTTGATCTTGAATTCGGATTCTGCTGGTCAAAAAAAGAATTCGGATTCTTAAAATCCATTAATAAGAAAATCCCGGCAAAGACTTCCCGGTGGACACGGATAGTGATCCGTGGAATAAAAAATTGCATGACAATTCTATCCTCACCTAGCAAATATTATGACGGTTTTATTCATTTCCCACTGAAAGCCATGCTGTTACCTCATCGACCAAAACCCATCGACGAATCACTTGCGTTGCTGAAGGCAACTGGTGGCGACAGTGAGGAGGACGGTGCGAGTGACGACCGGTGAAAACCTTCCCATGAAATCTGCATATTGGGGATTGGAAACGAAAACCTGCGTCTTTTTTAGGGTAGCATTCACTCATTTGATCTTTCTGGCCATTATTTTAGGCAAAAAGAAAATTTTTTCTGGTCATTATAATATAAACATTCTGGAAAGTTTCTTATGTTTTGGTCTATCAATGTTTCTGTATAATCAATCAATAATCTATTGGAAATAGGGAAGTGATTGTATGATACCTGAGACTATTGATGTGTATTCTAGACTATCTTATTGTAATGGGACGAGTTGTGGTTATTGTCCTCTTCTGTGATTCTATCACGGATAAATATTAAAAGTAACGACTTTTCGATTGTTACATATTATACGATGCGATAAACAGCAGTTGCAATACTTTCACAGAAGCAAAGAAATTGGCATAATTAAAAAATAAATTCGCCCGTCTGCTTGATTTATCTTTGCCGCGCTTCTGTAAACCTTAATTTAAAATTCAATATAATGCTTCTTATTCTTTGATTTTCTGCTTCGTCAGAGTAATTCCTCCCCCTCTCTCTGGCAAAGGGAGCGTCTTGATTTTAGATTTTGGATCACTGCTGGCTGTTTGAATTCGTATCGCACTCAACAAATTCTTCTCGGACTCCTGTACGGTAATGTTTTTATATTTATATTATTATCATTGCACGCGTCCATTTGCTTTTGTACTTGAGTTATATTATTTCGAAGAAAAATTGATGGCAAATTAGGGTTTTGATCGTCGGTTAAATTTTACTTTGGACATTGCTTTTGAAATTATTTTATTAATCCTTACAGATTTGGTGGTACAACTTGATTGTTTCTTTTATCTGGTGGAGCACATGAGCTCGTTCTTTATGGGACTCTGGAGAGCTTGGCGTGAGAGAGAGTTGCAATTTCAAACACTGGAATTCTGTTTCAATGGGAACTTCAACTTCTCTATTGCAAAGTATTTTTTGTTAGATGGTGTTTTCACGACTTCCTAGTGTCGAGACTCGTGAGTGTTTTTTTTGGGACATAATGAGAACTGATAATAATGGCTTTAAGGGATCATATTTGAACGGTTATTTGAGCATATGACTGCTAATCTATCTAATGCCAAAACTGTCTGTCCAAGAACTGATCATATATGAACATCGCATTTTTCAAATTATGTTGAACTCGTTAAAAAAAAAAAAAAAGAATTATGTTGAACTCTCGATGGTGAGAAAATTCTTGAAGTCAGTCGGCTATAGTTTTATATCAAAAAATGTCTGCTTATAGAAGGAGATAATGAATTGTAAGACACAGTATGCTAGGATTTTGTTTTCCTGACATCATTTAGGATATTCTCTCTTTGTGTTGCATATCACATTAATTTTTTTGCTCACCATTGTAATTAATGGACAGGGAACAACTGGATTTCCATTCTTGATCGTCACGTTCGGGAACTAAACACATATAAACAAATTCGAAGTAAATCTTGTCATCTGTGAACTCATGGCTGGGTTTTTGCCTGGTGATATCTCTCAAAATGGAACACATGGTTTTCAGATACACCCTGAGATGCCAAAGGATGGTGCTGCACCTTGCTGGTATTTTACTAGGAAGGAGATTGAAGAAATGTCACCATCCAAGAAAGATGGTATAGATTGGAAGAAGGAGACCTACTTACGCAAGTCATACTGCACATTTCTACAAGATATAGGCATGAGACTTGAAGTGTGAGTTTTTTCTGTATTTTTAAACATTAGTTATCTGTCTATTCGCAGATGCATTGGGAATCAGTTTATGATTTATAATACCTCACTTTCTTTCCTTTTTCTCTCTGGTCAACTGAGATATTGGCATTGGCATTCTTTATTGATAGAAAAAAAGATTTTATTGCTAAGAATTGGAAGAAAATATTTGCAACTGTGGGAGACAGGGAATCATTAAGTTAAATTTCAAACCATATTTTTCTCATTAAACAAAAATTTAGCCGTGCTCCCTATTGCTTTTACTTTCTAATCTAATAATTAGAAAGAGTTTGGCAACACCCTGTTTTGTTTGAAGCTGATTTGTCCAGTGCACTGATTGGTAGACTAGAGGTAGGCCATTGTTTGTGAACTTAGAGGAATTGAATTGTTTTGTGAGCCGTCTAAACTCTGAAGTGACCCAAAGTCAAATGGAAGCCTAAATTATGCAGAAGATAGGGCTATGTCAGCAGTGCCTTGTCTCTACAGGAGCAGGGGGCAGCTTACATTTTGCACATCCCAAAGTGTCTGCAATTCAGTATATGTTTATACTGCCAATAATTTAGCTGAAATATGTTATGCTTATCACTGATAGTAATGAAGATTTGTAACATAATTCATCTTGATATTAATCCTTTGACTCAATCCTTATTTTTTGATGCAGACCTCAGGTAACCATTGCTACGGCAATAATTTTTTGCCACCGATTCTTCCTTCATCATTCCCTTGGAAAGAACGATAGGAGGGTAAGTCTTTATTTTTACATAATAACTTGCCTGTTGTTATTGTTATATCTGTTTGAACTTTAAATAAAAATCTCTTCTTTTAATATAACTTGGTCTATTTCTGCATGCAAACCAAACTAGCAAGAATAAGAATGTATGAAGCCCAATGACATGTATGGATAAAAATTATAAGAATAAAAATTTTATTGAGCCCAATGTAGTATGTGGAGTAAGATTGTAGGAATTGGGGAAAAAAACACTGCATGAAGTTTGAGAACATAAAATTTGTTTATGGCTTATGAATAGAATGGATCCCTATAGAATTAATATTTTATGTTGATGCTGATTTTATAAGCACAGTAGGACCTATTGATTGGCAGGCATGGCATCATAGATTTGCCCTTCATTAGAGTCAACGGTTTTGTTTGTTGAACCTTGTTTTGAAAAGTTTACACCATAAGCAGGGCACCCTCAAAATCATTGGGATGCTTTTTTTTGGGGGGGGGGGAATATCTCTTAAGATCCATAACCGTCAAGGTAGTGTTGTCGGTAGTTTTCCAAAGCAAACTATATTTATCAAAACATGAGAAGGATATGGACATAAATGAACAGGACTAGCAGAAACTATGTACATTCGTTAGTGCTATCTTTCTTTTTTTCATTGCTCAGCTTACCAGTTGGCTTCGATAATAAATGAATCCCTTATTTCTCTCTTAGTGAATCAATTAATTATATTCCCTTTTAGGTCCATAATTTGTCTCACTTTTCAAGCATTCGAAGAGAACACTCCTTGGCTCTTTATTTGAATATCTATACTTGTGTACGAGAAATTAATATCATGAAATGCAACCCCTTGGCACAGAGAAATAGGGCCCCGTTTGGTAGCTTGGAATCACGGAGAAAAAATGGAATTGGACATGGAATCTGTTACATGTGTGTTGGTATGCATAATATGATTCTTTGGAATCAGGATTCAAGAAATTTGGCAGAATCCAATTCCATCATATGCATCATGGAATCCAATTCCATGGTTCTCTTTCTCCAATTTGCCCCTTCTCCTCCTCCAATATAATTTTTTTAATTTTAAAAAGGACACTTTAGTCTTTTCTTATTTTAAGTACTTATATTTTATTAAAATTATATCAGGATTCCATCATCATACCAAACACACTTTTAAATCCAATTCTATTCCAATTCCAATTCCAATTCCGATTCCAATTCTGATTCCGATTCCATAAAAACTCTTCCATCATACCAAACATGGCCTGGAAGATTCAAGTAGACAGAATTTATTTGTGAAAGACTAGGGTATTATATAGGGTTTGGACTTGAGGCTGCATTTGTTACATTGAAAATGGATTTGGGCAAAAGGAAAACGTGAGGGAAAGTATTTTTATTGTGCTGGGTAGATGGCAAGCAAAGTGACTTTATGAATATAGTGCTTCCCATTTTTATGGGAGAAGCATTTTTATACCCATTCCCCATCTTATTCCCATTTTGATTCAAACGGGCTCTTAAAATGGGCGTAGAAACTTTTGAGAGAGCATAAAGGGAAGTGGAGGGTAGATGAGTAATTCTAGATAAGATTGAATGATGTAGATTTATGTGATGTTAAAATTTTGGTCAGGGATTCATGATACCAATTTGAAACATGCTAAATCAAGATCAACACTTGCTTTTGTTTGTATGATGAAGAAGCTCCAGTTGTGTTGAATTTTAAAAATATACTTATGGCCATTATGGTTGCTCTTATAAGGTAGGAGATTGAGTATCAATTATTAAATGCATCAATAGAAGATAACTTATAGGGAAAGCGTTTCAAGTGCCTGATCATGGAGGAGGCTTGCTTAAGATGGTTTTACATGTGCAGTGTCGTAAAAGAAGGATATTTATAGTCTGCGATGTGATGAGTAAATATGAATTGGCAGGGTTGCTTGAGGTTGACCATAATTAGTATTGTAAGGCCTGTGTAGTTGGGTTAAAAGTTAAAACTTGATCTGATTATATCCACTGTTTCCCCAGATGGGGCAAGAATAAAAGTATAGGTCTTGAGTTCGCTATCCTTATGACGCAGAATGATAGAAATTTGATATTATTCTATTCTATACGATATAGATGGCATAATATCATTGAAGAATTCAATAACTTGGTCTTATATGTCTGTGCACCTAGTCATAACAATCTTGTTGTTTTTCATGCTATTTGATGTTTGTGTTCCTCTTGTTTGAGGGGAATATAATGCATGGGATAGAATATTTATTGGAATAATGATAATGATGGTAATTAACAACTTGGTCTACAGGTCATTGCAACAGTATGCATGTTCCTTGCTGGGAAGGTTGAAGAAACTCCTCGCCCTATGAAAGATGTAATTCTTGTTTCATATGAAATTATGAATAAGAAGGACCCTTTAGCAGCTCAAAGAATCAGACAGAGGGTATTATCTTGAAGTCCCTTAAGTTTTCGATGTTCTTTCATATCAGTCAATCTCTTCGTTTATTATTGAATTTGCCTATTTTAAAAGGTTTTAAGTAAATTTGTTTGATTTAAGCACCTGTCTTTTCTTTTCCCTAATGATCGTATGTGCTCATCTTGTACCTTCAATTTCCCATTCGAGGGGTCCAGGGTCCTCATACTTGGTGCTTCTGCAAGTAGGTTGATGCATGCATCAATTTTGACACGCGAATTGAAACTAAAATTAAATTGACTGGATTTGTGTTTATTATTTAACACATTTTATTTGGTTTTTTGGCGATTTCCTCCAAATTTATTCTGAATTTTTCTTCATGTTCCACTTCCAGTGATGTGGCTCTATTATTAATTTTTTTTTCTCTCTTGCAATATCTTTGTACTTCCCCATTGCGGTGCAGGAGGTGTATGAACAGCAGAAAGAACTAATCTTAGCTGGAGAGAGGATAGTTCTTCAAACTCTTGCCTTTGATCTTAATCTGCACCATCCCTATAAACCCCTTGTCGAGGCTATTAAGAATTTCAAGTTGCGCAAAATGCCCTTGCTCAAGTTGCATGGAATTTTGTGAACGATGGGTATGATGATGATCCCATCTGTTATGTTCAATGCCTTTATATTTTCCTTCCCTGAAATTAGGATGTGGTATGCAGACTTCGGACACCCCTTTGCTTGCAATTCAAGCCCCATCATGTTGCAGCAGGAGCTATTTTCCTTGCTGCCAAGTTCCTTAAGGTGAAGCTCCCATCAGATGGGGAGAAGGTCTGGTGGCAAGAATTTGATGTTACCCCTCGGCAATTGGAGGGTTGGTGCCTTTTTTTTTTTTTAAAGTATTAGTGGGTGTGGGATAAAGAAATGGAAAACAGTACTACCACCTCTTCTCTATCTTTCTTTGGCCTCTTATCTTTTGTTGATTACGATTGTATTCAAGAATTTTAGCGTTCAATCAAATAAGAATCCTGTGCTTGGACTGATGCATCTTGTAGAAGCACAGTTTGAGCTGATGCCTGATGCAATCAATTTAATAGTTGATTTTGTTTTATTATTTAGGCTTCTTCTTTTTTTTTTGCCATTGTGAAAGATCCAATTGTGTTGTTCTTTTTGCAGAAGTTAGTAATCAAATGTTGGAGCTGTATGAACAAAACCGAGTGCCACCTTTGAATGATGTTGAAGGAGCTACAGGAAGTGGGGCCACTCAGCGGGCAGCTGCAAAAAATCCTGCTAGCAATGGTGAAAATGCAACCACAAACAGTAATTCTCGTACTGGAGCTACGAGGTCTAGACTTGAGACTTCAAAGCCTGGAGCTTCTAAGACACAGTTGGAGTCGCCTGCTAATCATGTTGAGCACCCTGCATCTAACCATGGCAGAAGCCGTGATTATGGGGGCACAGAAATGAGACCCAGGGTAGAAGCTGAAGCCAAGGGTAATGATCATCTTGAGGGTAAATCCTGCTGCACAAGGAAACTTGCAAGAAGCTCAAGAAAATGTCGAGATCTCGATCAGGTTAT